AGGCAGACCAACCTACAAATGAGATCACATGGCACACTGTGCAAATTGAGAAAACGAAAGGGGGTTGGACAGTGGCAAGGACACTGGAGAAATGTTGTGGTGGCCTCCTCTCTCAAGGGGCATCCATTTCCTTGCATCTACCAAATCTGCCAAAGTCGGATTGTGCACATAGGATTGTGCCCAGTCACATCAGTGGCTGGTTAGGGTGTAGCTCGTGTGTGGTCAGTGCTATTGTGGATCGTTTCCCTGGGGCGGTCCCGTGATGAGGCAGCAACTGCTCCTTTTCCCCAGGGCCAGCTGCTGGCCACACACCTAACTAGCTCTTCTTATTTTTTGGATATTTGGAGAGTTGGGGGTTTTTTTGTTTGTTTTGGGGGCATTGTTTGTTTGATTGTTTGAGTCAGGGTCTCGCTATATAGTTCACGTTGTCCCTGAGCTCACTATGTAGCCCAAGGTGGCCTCAAACTCACGGTGATTCTTCTGACGCAGCCTCCCAAGTGCTAGGATTACAGGCCAACCCCACCCACTACGCCTGGATCCTCTTTTAGATTTTTCTTTTCAGTGTCCTCTCTTCTGAGTAGAGAACAGAAAAAATGTTTGTTTTAATTCAGCCTAACTCAAGGTATAAATTTATAGCTTGCTTGATAAACTATCAGTCATTAGACTACTCACCTTTCTGTCACTGACACAAGATATCTGACATTCACAATTTAAAAGAGGAAGAATGTATTTTGGCTCACAGTTCGGAGGTTTAGTCCATGGTTGGCTGGCTCAAGGCAGAAACATCCTGGCACAGAAAAGCACTTGCCTAATGGTGACTAGAAACACAGAGACCAGGAAAAGAGGCAGAGGGAGAGATACACCCTCCAAAGGCACCAGTGACTCATCAGCTCCAACTGGGGTCCCCCCTCCTAAGAGCCCATTCAACTGGGAACTCATCAGTGATTGATTCAGTTCATGAGATTAAAGCCCTCACGATCCAGTCCCCTTCTGAAAGCCTCACCTCTGAACATGTGAGACTTTAAAGGAACATTTTAGATCTAAGCCATGACAGTGATTACTCCTAAAACGGAACAGACATTCCCTTTCTTTAGTTCATTTCCTGGAAGGTACAAGCTACATCTCATCTCATCGAAACCTCCCTAGTACCTGATTTGCATGGAACCAGCAGGTGCAGCTCCCCATAGCAGGCTTTGAAGATAAATCTTATTTTAGATCCCGATTTAGGCAAATTCCTTCTTCTCCCTCCCTGGTAAAATAAGAACATCCCCTACCTTGCAGGATGGATGTGAGGATTGGAGAGATTGAACTAGAACTCTAAGCATAGGCAAGAACACCAAGGACCCTCAGTGATAGTCACTGTAGTCTCTTGAGGCCAGTAATCACTAAGAAAACCCAAAAGTAAGAATTTTCAATGAAGTGTACCTATGACAGTAGAGCTCACCTCTCTTTATTTTCCCTGAGCTGCAACAAAAGAAAGTCTCCAACTCTCTGGGAAATGTTTCAGTAATAATACATGAAAATACCGTATGCTTGATCTTTTTTGTGTGTGTTTGTTTTGATTTTTTGAGACAGTGTCTTACCATATAGTCCAGGCTGGCCTCGAACTCACTATGTACCCCATTCTGGCCTCAAACTCACAGCCATCCTCCTGCGGAGCCTCCCAAGTGCTGGCTTTGTAAGCACGCACCACCGCACTTGGCTTGCTCCGTCTTTACATTCAAAACATGAAACTGGAATTCAAGTATAGTGATTTTGCCTATCAGATTGATAATAATACTGTGTTGATGAGAGTGTAAAACATAATATTCTATACCCGTGCAGGAAATAAGCTAGTTGAACAGCCTGTTTCAAGGCCAGGTTTTTCAATGGATACTTTAATTTAGACTAAGGAATTCTACTGAACGGATGGATCTGCCTCATAGACATACCAACACAACAAATACACCAAGGATGTCCACCAAAGCACTTTTTTCCTGCCGGACACTGGAAATGATCTTAATGTCCATCTGGTGGAAGTTGATCAAATCGATGTGCAAATGTTGGAAAAAGTTCAGACAGATATAGAAGAAACGTAACAGAAATTTCTTCTAGAGCAGAGTTGAGGAATGAGGGGATTTTTATTTAGTATATACTTCTGCAAATGTCTGGAATTTTAAATTTAGCATGAAACTACTTTTCAACGTGGCGGGAGAAGTCTGAGTTTGGTCAGCTTCTGAACAAGTAGTAAAGGGGGAGGTTGGGTCTCTGAAGTGAAAGGGGGAACTGTGTTTCATTTTGAGTTTTCTTTTTAGTACATCTTCCTTTCTTTTTTGCTCTTCATTTGCCCCTGGCTCTGGCTCCCCTCAGAACCGTAAAAGGAGTTTCTTGATGACTCACTGTGCCTGTTTTGACCTTTTAGCGACTGTGGCTAATTGATTCTGAGTGCAGGGGATCTGCATTCATTCAGTGTGGTTACTGTTTATTAAGGACTGTTTTAAAGAGATCATAAGCTTTTCAAGGTACAGTTAGCAAATGGTATATTCTGTATCACTTCTTTTTCGATCTCCTGCTCAGGGCTGGCCCAGGGACTTCGAGCTCATTGGTGAGCAGAGGAGCTGACAGATGCCTGTGCCAGCCTGAGGGGCTTGTGTTGCTCCTTGCAAACAGAGCTAGCTTCCTGCTTGCTATATCCAGGCAGCTCTGGAGCTGCCCCAAAGCCCCTTGGAAGTTTCTCCTTGTTTTTCATTTATTCATTTTTCTTAGGTCATAAAAATCATAAAGTAGGACAGAAATCATCTATAATGTCATATATAGAAGCAAGAAAATTTTATGGCATTTCCTTTATGTTTTTGCTCACATGTACTTTTTTTGGTAGTTTTGTTTTTTTTTTTTTTTAGTTTGTTTTGTTTTGTTTTTTGAGACAGGGCCTTGCCGTGTAGTCCAGGTTGGTCTTAAACTCACTATGAAAGCCAGTCTGGCCTCAAACTCACAGCAATCCTCCTGCTTCAGCCTCCTGAATGCTGGGATTATAGGCATGCACTACCAACCACGCTGAGCTAACATGTACTTTTTACATAATTATATAATGTTCATATACAGATTTTAATCTTGATTTTATTTCAGATTTGCACAGAAGGTATTTTCAGCATTAAATAATCTCAGAATGCTCTGAATGGCTAGATAGGATTCCATCGGGCAGGTAATTGTAACTTCTTAACAATGTCCTTATATTGATCAGTTCTCTTAAACATCGTGTTCTAGCCGGGCAGAGTGGTATGTATCTGTGGTCCCAGCTACTTGGGAGGCTAAGACAGGAGGAGTTTGGGGCTAACCTAGGCAATATAGTAATACCTTGTCTCAAAACAAACAAAACCATCTATTTTCTTGAATTTTACTGTTGAACCACAAATCATTAGGCGCTAAATTAGAATGTCTCGGTGATGCCAGCTCAGTGTATCACAGACAAAATCAGTTCCTATCCTGAGAAGTGTATAATTTAGAACAAGTGACGAGTAAGTTGTCAAAATGTCATCACCGCTTTATCAGAGGTACAGCAAATCGCTGTGGGAGGGGAGAAAGGGGCGACACTGGTAAAGGCTTCCTGGAGGAGGTAGTGTTTGCGTTATATTCTCAGGAGGGTTAGGAGTTAGTCAGCTATAAAATGCAAGGAACGCCTTCCAGAAAGAGAAGATTGTTTGGAGGACACCCAGAGGGATGGCGAGGCATGGCATGTTTAGGGGTGATAGGGGCTCCTGGATGAGGGGCAGGCTGTGACCCTAAATATGTAACCTGTGGTCACACCGTAAGGGGCTTCTGTGCCAGGCTGAGGAGTTGGGACTTCATGCTGAAGGTCACAGGAAGCAGAGGCGGGGACACTTGTTAAAGAATGTGGTTTGAGGGCACAGTGATGCTTCACTGCCTTGGCAAAGTTTCCAGTGTGTTGAAGTCTTCTAGAGTGAAGACTAAAGAGGATGCACTTTTCCTTCCTTCCTTCCTTCGTTCCTTCTTTCCTGGTGATATGTGTCTGTCATAAGAAAGCGTGGTGGTGGCCTCGGGCATTTAGACCATCCCTAAGTCACCTGGGGCCACTTTGGGAAATAACATCAAGCACTCCAACATCATTTCTTGCCAAGATAGCATTTAGTATGTGTATCAGTTGGGACTTCTTGAGTTGACAGCACCCGAGCTAAGCTCACTGTAAATAGGTATTAGCCCATGTACCTGTAAATTGTATTAGTCAATGTAACGGAACTGCTTAAGGGTGGCTTTTCCTGGCTTCAGGCCCAGTGAAATCCAGGGGCTCAAACAGTGTTGGTTAAGCTTCTTCCTTTCATCCCTCCGTCAGTCAGGCTTTATCCTTCATTCTGTGCAGCCCCTTCTTCTTTCCAATGGTAAATAGATTCTTCTGTGTGACCAGGGAGAGTTGTTACAAGAAGCTCCTGTCCCCGTTAGCTCCTGAGCTCACACTCTCAGAGGAATATAGACTCTTCCACCTTTTGTCTTATAAACCATGTAGCAAATTGCAGAGACTCAGTGCTCAGCCCTGAGCCGGTGGAACACTGATTGGTCAGATCTGGAGTCCTCCCAAACTGTAAAATGGGGTACCCAGGATAGTTGGGCCCTGTTCTTAGCAGGAGTTGTAGGCATTCTGGCCCAGTGTTGTTTTTTAATGGCCATCTACTATGCACTGTTCTCCCAGGTCCTTCAGAATGGGGGAGATGTCCACCGGAAGCAAGGCCAGCTTGTGGCTTTTTGGATCTGTCTTTCATGAGTTGGGCCTGCTCTGTTCTTGTGCTGTGGTGTACTTGGTGTCCACACAGTCGATCCTCCGGCGCGTGTGTGAAGGCAGCCCCCATCCAGTTTTCTTCAGCCTGTAGACTCACAACAGTGGCTGGTGACCTTGTCCTCTCGCTCTTGTGAGCCTGTGATTTGTGTTCTGTCAGCCACAGGAAGCTGCTCAAAGGATCCGCCCTGGCCTGCTGCTGACCCTGTGATGTTTTGTTTTTCTCATTGTTTAGCGGTCCATTAGCTTCCGAAGTGAGAGCCGCCCTGACATCCTTGAGCCCCGACCCTGGTCCAGAAATGCCACCTCGTCAAGCACAAAGCGGAGAGACAGTAAGCTGTGGAGTGAGACCTTCGATGTGTGTGTTAATCAGATGCTTACGGCCAAGGAAATCAAACGTCAGGAGGTAGGCTTGCGTCCGGTGGAGCTGGCTGTGTCTTCCCCAAAGCTGCAGAGCAGGCCAGAGCCTGAGAGATAGATCTGTTCTTCGGTTTCCAGATCTCTTCTTTGCACCTTTGAAGGAAGGCACATGGGCGGGAGGAAGCTTAGCACCAGCAGCCAGCTGGGTGGGTGCAGCCTCCCTGTAAAAAGAAACCGGTGTGAATATCTGAACGCAGAGTGTTGGAACCAAGTGCCTGTGTAAAATTCTGAAGTTCACAGAAGCAGCCATTTTAGTTACATTTTGAGGACACTTTCTAAAATATTTTAAAATAGTCCCAAATTGTAGAACTTTGGATGGGCTTTGTGGAATACTTCTTTCTGTACCAGCAACCCTAAATGGCCCTGAAGGGGTCACCCTTTATGGAGAGGTTATGGTATGCCAAGGTGGGCCTGGCGCTTCATATGGGCATCTTCTAGTGACATCCTTGCGGTCTCTATTTTTTACAGAGAAGCAGAGTTTGGCAAAAGGAGCACTCCAAATTTTTCTAGATTCTTTGACTAAGTAGGTCTTTTCTAGGCACCTGTCAAGCTTACTTGTTTGTATACAAGTGAAAAAAAATACATGTGCAAGATTTCTCACCACAGTAATGTTTAAAATAATATTAATTTAGAAAGAGTCTGTACATCTGTCCCTAGGAAGTGGTTTAAATACCTAAAGTACTATGCAGCCGTGGAAATACATGAAGAAGAAATGATATGTATATTTGGCTGAGTGGACAAAGAACGGCACAACAGGGCTGGGATTTTGCTCAGTGGTTCCACCGCCTGCCTCGCAAGCTCAAGGACCTGAGTTCAATCCCCGGTACACAAAAAAAAGAAGAAGAAGGATGGCACAACATAAGTCAGAGAGTACCATAGCTCCCACATATATAAAAGTAGCAAAACCCATGCGTGTGTGTGTGTGTTCACTTAACTGCATGCAGTATTTCTGGAAGGGTACCCAAGAACAGTGTTGCCTCCATGGGTGACTGGGAGAAGGAGAGGAGTTAGAAAGCTTTTACCATAGGCCCATTTGTGCACTATAAATTTTGTGCCCGTAATGTATTATCTATTCAATGAATAAGCAGAACCTTTAAAAACAAGAAATGCCTTGAGAAAAATTTGGTGGAGACTTGCACAGTCTTAATCATGGCTAATGTGGAACTGTAAAGTAATATATTGGCCTTGGCCCCCATTTCCTGGCGGACAGCTCTTCGTGTCTTCTAAGTGATGTTCCGTGTGCTAGCTGTTGAGTTGACTGACTGATGGCTGCCAGCCCCTTATAGCTTCCGATAGCAGCCAGTCACCGAGGAGGCCGAGTCAGGGTTAGAAGGATGAGATTTTTCAGCCACAGTCCCTAACTTCTGGAGAACGAGGAAGATGTGAAGGTTAAATTGATGATACAGGCCAGTGGTATAATCAGTCATGCCAATGGAATGATGCCTCCATAAAGACCTAAAAAGACAGCTGGGGATTTAGCTTTGTGATGACAAGCCTGCCTTGCAAGCATAAAGTCTTGATTTCAATCCGCAGTATCAGGGAGTGGAGGGGGGAATAAACTAAAAAGAAAAGGCTTGCAGAACTTCTGGATAGCTGAGGTACTTGGAGAGTGGTACACCTGGGTAGGGTACATACGGAAGCACCGTGCCCCTCCCGTATCTTACCCTGTTCCTCTCTTCCTCTGGTATCTATAGGTATCCTTTGTAAAATTCTAGGCTTTGTGAAATAAACCATTAAGCATACGTGTTGCCTTGTTTTCAAATAATCCTAGTTAGGATGATCAGTCAATCCCAATGAATCCTAGACAAGTGGTCATGGGAACCCTAATTTATAGCCAGTTGACCAGAAATACAGGTAAGACATCCTGGAACTTTTATTGGCATCTGAAAGGGGCTATAGTCTTGGGGACTGAGCCCTCAATTTGTAGAGTCTGATGCTACCTCTAAGTAGATAGTGTCAGAATTGAATTGGGACACCCAGGTGGTATCCACTGCAGAATGTATTTTCGTCCTGTGTAAGGAAAACTCCTTGAATTGGGTATCAGAATGGATCTGCTATGAGAGCATAGGAGAAACTGAATTTGTTATTCCTGAATTCTCAGAGTCTTCTTTATGCTTCTTGGTATTTTCCCCAGTGTTAACAGTGTAAATATACAGCCTGTACAGTTTGAAAGTAAAAACAAAAGGAAGGAAGGGAAAAAGGTAGCAAGAGGGAAGGAAGATGGATTCTGCAGATGAGGAGTTTATTAAGGCATGGTGAGCACTAGGTCACAGCCTGGGAAGTTACAGAGTCAGAATCTGAGCCTGGTCTACCCTGTCCAGACACCCATGGCGTATTTCCTATGTGTCTGTGGTTGTCTTCTCCTGGGGGCCGCATTTGGTGAGATGGGTAAGTGAGCTCCAGTAAAACAGATGGTCAAGGAAATCTGAGAAAGATGCACATAAAGGCCAGCTCGGTAGTTTGAGCCAATCCATTTCCTGGTTTTGAGATAACACTCGGGCGGCTGAGTGTTGGTTGCACAGGATCCCTCTGTACAAAGTTTGCAGCTTTTCATGGGAGTCTATAATTATTTTGAAATAAAAAGGTATAATAGAGTGCCAAAAGGCCATGACCCGGGCCTTTCCTGAGCCTCTTCTGGGCCTCAGAGAGAGGCAAGCACCGCCCTCCCACCCAGCTTGACTCACTGCCCTCCCGCCCCCAGCCCCAGGTGGGGGACTTGCCTGAAACCCAGGCACTCCTTCTCTCTAGTCTGAAAAAGATGCCCACATCCCTGAGCTGTATCACAAACTTCTAGTCCTTTGCACTTAATATAATGTTTGCCAAGTGTTTAGATTCCCAGATGAGAAAGAGTGTTCCATGCGTCTTACCTTTAAATTCTGCTGGCTTTTAATACAGGTGAACTAGACTGGTCTGTTTACATACTCTTGCACACAGCCAGCTTCTGTAGTTTTATCTGTTACACCTTGTGGGGCTGCGAAGTGCTGTAGAATGAATTAACTTCACCAGGTTTTCTCTAGAGTGATAAAATGTTGGTTTCTTTCTGCAATCCCAGCCTCAAGACAAGTGGATGATAGGAATAAAGCTTTCTGCTGAGAATTGTCTTCTGTTGGGAGGCCAGCTGTGATGGCCTGTTAATCCTATTGCCAGGTCCACTACTGAGAACCGACCCTGAATCATTTCTTAGGATTGTCACTCATGACAAAGATGCAGAATCCATGGCTCAATCTGTAATTATTTTGCCGAAAATAGTGCCCTCTTCCTCAGCTTCATGAAAGACCTATAACATGAAAAACACCTTTTTGGATTAGAATTGTGTGGAAGCCCTTTCTCCCACAAACCCGGGAGTCTATTGTGCAGAAAGTTTACAATATCTTTCTTTTGCAGCTTTTAGCTGAGGGATAGATTTGCTTCTAGTTAATTTACCTTTTTGAGAATACTTCTTAAGTACTTAAAAATTTGGAACCAGCCATGGTGGCATACACCTGTAATCCCAGCGCTCAGGAGGTTGAAGCAGGAGGAGCACCACAACTTCAAGGTCAGCCTGGTGACATAGTGCGTTCAGAGACAGCGTGAACTACAGAGCAAGACCTTGTCTCAAAAATAAATAAAGATTTGGAGCTTTTAGTGCTAAAATCAGCACTTAAAGGAGAGTTCAATAAATATACTCCTTTTCTTACAGGCAATCTTTGAGCTTTCTCAAGGGGAAGAAGACCTGATAGAAGACTTGAAATTAGCAAAAAAGGTAAACTGAAATCCAACAGTCATTTGAGTCACCTCACATTTTCTTTCTTCTGAGTAATTTCACAACTTTAAGATAATGCTGTATGAACACTTTCTTTGGTACTGAGAATCAGAAATGCAGAAGAACCTGCAACCACAAACCACACAGTGGGAGGAAAGGCCCAAAACAAGAAGGAAACAAAGTTCTCTGCACCTGGCACCTGTAAGGGTCTCGGTCTACCTGTCTGTAGTACACCTCAAAGAATACATCAATTGCAACCAGAAAGTCTCTGTAGAGGACTGGTTTTATGTGTACTTTCCTTGTCCTAGAAATCTCACGCATGGGGCCTCTTTGTCCATGGGGGGAAACATGTCTGACACTGGAGCAATGTGTTAGAAATAAAGACTCCTGAGTCTCAAAAAGATGGATGAAATGGTGAAGTAAGACTAGTTGCATTCTGTCACAGACAGGGTCTTTTATATGGAAACTGGGTTTTTGGTTGGTTGTTGAGTGCTGGGGATGAAACTTAGAAACTTAGGCATGCTAAACCTGTGCTGTACCCCTGAGCTACACCCTCAGCTGGAGCCTTGTTTTTTAGTCAACATTATATGGGGGGAGAGGGGGAAAACCCATACCTTGTAGCACGTATATTTAGGCTAATTTAACTTTTTGAGAATACTTTCAACAAACTCCTCCAAAACCTTTACCATGCAGTGACCCTCCATGGTTTAGAAGTTAAATCCAGAGTCCATCCTCTGATACTCACTGCCTCCTCAGAGAATCATGGAGTTGAAAGGATGCTCCCTTTTCTGAAGGGTCCTGAGCCCAGCTTTCTCCTAATATGAAGTGACACCTCTGGCATTCCTGAGGTGGCCATTCAAGCTTTGCTTGGCCATAGTCAAGAAGCAGTGTTAGTCAGAGCTGGAGGAGAAGGAGATCTGGGAGCGCTAAAAAGAAGGCTTTTAACTCTGGGAGACATCATGTTGGTCATACAAGGGCTGGTCAAAATATAAAGTGTGTCTTTAAATAAAAATTACTATAGTAAAAGATGCATTGCCATGAGTGTGCCTCAGAACTCTAGTCTGAGCTTTGGGGAGACTCATCCCATCATTCTTGCAACTTTCTGAAGCAGTTTTGGAAATCCTCTTTCAGAGTGTCATTATGAGATACGATACAAAAAGTATATATGGTGAATGCCGCTGCCCAGAGCCATCCAACCAAAAGGTAGGCTCATAGAAACATCACAGTATAACCTTATCCACCTTATTCGCCAGATGTGACAGCATATGTCCTCTGGGTCTTCCCCAAAGTCTTTTATTTTTCCTGGTACCAGAAATCGAACTCAGGACCTTGTGCTTGCCTCAGTGCCACGTGCCACTGAGCCAAATCCCCAGCCCTCTTCCCCAAAAGGACATCACCAGTAAACATTTTTAATCCATTCAGGACATCAAGCAGCCACAGAAACACAACTAAAGACACAAAAAGGAGTTTCTTTTTTTTTTGTACCGGGGATTGAACTCAGGACCTCACACTTGCCAGGCAGGTGCTGTGCCACTGAGCTACATCCCCAGCCTTCAAAAAGGGACTTTTGAACTGCTTCAGAAAGCAGCAAGAACAAAGGGACAAGTGTATTCTAAATGGGGGAGGAGAGCATTTTAAGGTGGTTTAATGGCAACACGTCATGCAGCTTTACTGTAGTAAAGTATCTTCTGACATTCAGCATGTTTTTAGACCACATGTGTCCAACTTCCCTTCGCTGCATAAAGAGCTCCCAAACATGAAAATCTTCACACGATCCATGGCCATCCATTGGCCATGGTGGTCCTGCCTTTCCAGAGAATTTTTTTTTCCTTTCCCACATCTTTATCTGTCCTTCTTCCAGGCACCAACTCAAATCTCAGTTCTTCCTTCTACAGTGTTTATTGCTTCTACCATGGCTATTCCAGCGTTAATTTTTTTCCCCCACTACCAGGGATGAAACTCGGGCCCTTGTGCTTGCAAGGCAGGTGGCAGAACCACTGAGCTAAATCCCTGGCCCATCTTGCTTTAATGTTCTGACCCTCTAGAGCACTTACAGTTTGATCATTTTCTTCTGTCCTATGACATTTTTCCTGCTGCTAGTCTTGAACTGTTTTTTAAACATATATTTCATTTTTTCTGCATTCAAGAAAAAAACCTTCCCGATTATCTTTCTAAAACTCCTTAACAGCAGGCGCTGTATCATCTGTGTCTTCAAATTTCATTACAGAGCCCTGGTATAACTATTCTTGTTGTTTAATTGTCTTTAGTAGAAAAGAAAAGGATTGGCAGAAATTTTGCTCTCTTTGCCTTAAAAGTAAAAGTACAAGATGTCAATCATTTTTTCTTTTCTTTATTTTACATATGTACTAATTGAAAAAGCCTGCTGGTAGTTAATTTTGAATACAGAGAGTTTTTCAAGCTGAAGGATCTCATGATTTTTAAAACATCGTAACAGTCAAATTTGCTCCATCTTAGATGTGTGATACGGTAAAATAAGAAAGCTTTGGGAAAATCTGCTTAGGTTTATCAACAACCGCAAAAGGCTCAGTGTGGTACTGGATTCTTCTCTCCTCCGGTTGTACCTGTCTGCTATTTCTGCAACATTGTGAGAGTTTCGTGTTTTTTTTTTTTTAATCATTTAGTTCTCTCAGGAGCCATTTTCATGGAACAGCTTCATTTCTCTGATGTTGTTTGTGTCCACCTTCTGCCCTTCTTGTGTAGGCCTACCACGACCCCATGCTGAAACTCTCCATCATGACGGAACAAGAGCTGAATCAAATTTTTGGAACACTGGACTCTCTGATTCCTCTGCATGAAGGTATAATTTTGTTCCCAGGATGGGCTGTGACTTTTAACCTTAATTAAGTTGTCTTATAATGAGTCAGTAATTATGTAATGATGTGACTAACCGGAGCCTACTTCTAGTCCTGCTCATGTGAATGTCTTAATGAAATAAGCATTCTGTTTGTTTTTTGCCAGAGCTCCTTAGTCAACTTCGAGACATTCGGAAGCCAGATGGCTCCACCGAACATGTTGGTCCCATCCTTGTGGGCTGGGTAAGAAAAGTTCTGTGGTTTTGGTTGAAGATAGATTTTAATTATTGTAGGTAGAGCTCCACGTAGCTTGACATTCCTTATTGGCAAATACAGGTTTCACATCAGAAAGAAAGGGATAAAAAAATAGCAAATTTAGGCTGTATTTCTTCAAAGCATCAAAACAAATTTTTCTTATCTCGAATTTAATACATTTAAAGATAACAGAATTTTTATAGTAAAATAAGTAAGAGTACACATGACACTAATTGCATGTCAAATAAAAAATAATATTGGATTCAAGCCAATTCTCATTATTATTATTTCTAATCTAATAAACATTGGTTGATACATTCTTTTTTTTTGGTACTGGGGTTCGAACTCCAGTCCTTGCGCTTGCAAAGCAACCGCTGGAACCACTGAGCTAAATCCCCAGGACCCAATTGATACATTCTTGTTCATCATAAAAAAAGCTTTTCAGACTATTAAAAGTCTCATGGTCAAAGTTTCGTAAATAAGATAATAAGTATATATTGGTAATGTTTAGTTACTTCATAGGAGAGCTGGCTATATAATGGCCTTCATCCCAAAATCCCCAACTAAGGAAATAAGCTCTGACCTTAGATTGAGTGCGTACATTTATGGTCCTTAAACCTAATGTGTGTTCTATTGGGTGCATGATGTTGTTTGTGTGCTTAATCTGTTTTAGACAAGAATCACATTCTCTACTTTGCCATGTCACCACCACCCCCTCTTCTGTACATTTCTGTTTCTTTTTGTGAGCACTTGAGAACTCCACCCCAGAAGACTACTTTTATGAATTCTTCCAGGTAGAATTAGGTCTCTTATCCCTCTGATCTACCGTGTTTTCTAGGAAAATAGGCAGGAAGTGACATGACAGCTAGTCTTAGACATCATTCCCTTCTTGGAGAGTGTCATGAAGGTTATAAATCCTACTTACTGCTATGTAAATTCTTTCTGTAGTCATGTTTGTATTTAACCTTCCTAACACCTCCCAGTTCCAACTGGTGCCAAGTTGGTGGCAGAAAGTTTTAACGTTGATCTCTTATTCTTCTCCATGATGATCCAGAACCTTTGAAGGTTTCATGACTTAGCTAGATTTAATTCAGGAGTCAGTTTTAGCACTGAGGCTGAAATATCCCAAGGGCATGTGAAAGACAAGTAATGTTCTAAGATGAATAATTTAGAAAATGTGCCTTAATATTGCAAGAGAGATCATTCATCTTACACTTTTGACTTTCATTTTATTATGAGCAGTGGTGGATGTTGTAACTTCTTTAGCCCACAAAAAAATTCTTCCAAAGAGCAAGACACCTGGAGTCAGAGAAGTTGAAATGAGGAGAAGGTCAGCCTCAGTCAGTCCAGTCCGTCTGTCTTTTCTATCTTTTTTTTTTTTTTTTTTTTTTTTTTTTTTTTTTTTTCTTCTCAGTGTTTCTTAAACATGCTGAGTTTGTAGCCTGCTTTTGTCAGGAGTGATGGAAGTGGTGAGGCCATGCTCCAGAATTAGCAGGATGATTGCTCTGTTTTTGACAAGATAGCAGTATAGAGCTCCATGGTTCCCTTAAACCTCATACACAAATCGTAGTTTATATCAGAAGCAGGCTTGTGGGAATTTGCCTTGTCATTCACTTTTTCTGAAATAAAAGTTTGTCACTTCTGTCAGGAAATTGGTTTGCTCTAGGGGCAGCTTTTGCAGTCTTTCTCTGTGCATGCCCAAAAGAGTGACCATGACAGTCCGTTGCCATCTGGACCCTCCAGGCACCAAATGAGGACTCAGCTTGAAGAGCAGCCTAAAATTAAACAACCAGCCTGTTGTTACCAGACTTCATGAGAAATGGCCCTTATATATCAGGCCTTCCGAGCTGTTAAATGTTTTCCCTCTTTTAACTGCAGATGTGTCTGTGCGAGTGGGAACTGTAAACCAAGGAGTACATCTGTTTGAGTTCTGGTCTTTTTAACAGAACAGAATAAACATCTTAGTGGACTTTGAATGAGAAAAGTCAGAGCCCATTCGACCCATGAAAAATTGATTTATTTCCCCTCCAAAGGAAAAAAACCTTTTAAACAAGTAAGCCGCCCCAGTCCTTTTGACCTTAGAATGAATCAGTTACTTGTACTTTGAAGACCTTAAACAGAGTGGTTGCTTTTTCCAGGGAACCATCCTGGTTACTGAGGATCAGCGTCCCCTCCCTGACACCCCGTGTGAGTAGACTTCCCTATCACAAAGGAGCAATTTCCCAGTGACTTGTCTTACCCATAAAACAAGTCATACCCTCTCTGAGACAGCAAGTTCTCATGTGGATTTGGATTCTAATGAAATTTTAATTCCTTAGAGAGAGGCAGGGCACATAGAAGGGGAAAAATTAATTCATTCTATCTCTTTTCACAATGTTAGGGAGATAGAAAGAATTACTTTAAAAAAGTAATAGTTTCCCTTATAAATTCTTCATAGTCTGTTTAAAGAGATATCAAGGGAAGGGGTAAGCAAGGACAAGTTTCAGACTCTAGCTGAGCAAGTAGCTTTGACTCTCTAAACCACAGTTTCTTCAATAAAACAGTCCAGGAGCAAATAATAATAGCTACTACTTTCTGATTATTAACTGGGGGCCCAGTTCTGTGCTAGACATTGTATGTGTTTTCTCATTGAGCAAAAAGGAAAGCATTAGTATGCATTTTGTGAGTGGAAAAATTAAAAAGAGTCATTTAAAGCGCCTGTGTAAAAGATGGCTTTGAACCTGAATTCTCCCCAATTCTAGAGTCTGTCCTCTTCACCACTGAGTTTTCACCCCTTATATTTTAAATAAACAAGTGTGTGTGTGTGTCTAGGGACTAATATGTATACATTCTTTATCCCTTATCTAGTTAAATATCATTTATGGCTTTTTCTGGCCAGTGACTCAATCAGATAGCCTCTCAGGTCATGCCCAGGAAGTGAGCACCCTGTCAGGTGTGAACGCAGGACCAGATCACAACTTGGTTGCCATAGTAGCAGGTGTGGGGATTAGAGAGCGTAATGGCCCAGCTGTGCAGCTGGGGTTCCTCGCTAGTTTACATCCGATGCTTACTGCTGATTTGTTTCTCCATAATGAAAACATTTGTCGTTTCCAGGTCCTTTAAAAGGCGAGGAAATGGAAATGAAATTAAGAGGCCCTGAGGTGCTTTTTAATTAACTCCGAACATCTAAATTACAAGCACCGCATCTGGGGTGGGTGGGTGCGTGTGAGTGTGTGTGCGTACTAATTATCATTACTTTCAAATATGAGATCTAATGAAGAGTTTGTGCAGCTCTTTTTAACAAAGGTAGAGATTTTCTTTTATAACATGGAACGTGGGAGGAAGGTAGACATTTCCAAGGAACTTTTAAGTTCAAAAGGAGAATGTTTTAGTACTATATCCCTCATAATTTTTTTAGTTTTGATGAGAAAATAATTTCAATAAGAAGTTAGCCAAACTTTTTTTTCCTCTTTTGGTTTTTTGAGATAGGGTCTCACTGTGTAGTTCAGGCTGATCTTGAACTCATTGTGTAGCCCAGGCGGGCCTCAGACTAGCAGCAGTCCTCCCATGTCAGCCTCCTGAGTGCTGGGATTGTAGGTGTGCACCAGCATGCCCAGCTGCCTTACTTTAGTTTTAAGCAGTGTTCCCAAACCATCAAATATTACCTAATCTTGTAACCATTAAGCATTCATTTATTTGTTAACCTTGAATACAGATGTGTCAGCTATGCAAGAGTACCGAGGTTATAGAAATCGCTTCACGGTCTTGCAGTAAATCAGGTGTCACGTGAATACAGCTTCCTAGTGTGGGGGAGAGAGAAGGGATCCGGGCCCCTGGCTACATCTTATTGCCTCTGATAACTTTCCAGGGGCTGATAGCTTTGCATTAGGATGCCAAGGCTCAGGTGCCGTGAAGAGGGAGGAGTAGAAAAGAAGGACAGGGAACCTTTTCCACGAATGTCTCATACTGTGCTAACACAATGGGACTGATGAGCCGCGTCACAGAAATTAGTGTTTTGCTGGAATGAAAGCAGTGGAGTTAAAATGTTCCAGAGTCTTTCAGTTGCTCTTTGCATGGTATTGTGATATAAACCATAAGGTATAGCCACAAATCTTTCTTGACCTATCAAAACTAATTTAAGGTATTTTGATGAATGCTTTCTACATCTGATTGTTTTCCTAATCCTGCTTTTGCTTTAGCTTCTTTGTAACTGAGCTGCCTCGGACTCTTGGTTAAACTAAAGTAGAAAGGCTTGTACCAAGCCACACAAAGGGCTGGACTTAGCAGTCTGATCCCTTGCTTTTTGTGAGTGTTCCTGGGTTTTCTATATTGGTTCCTTATGAATAATTTTAAAAGAAATTCTTGCGGGGGTTGGGGATTTAGCTTAGTGGTTCTGCCGCCTGCCTCATAAAGCGCAAGGTCCCAAGTTTGATCCCCAGTACCAAAAAAAAAAAAAAAAAAAAAAAAA